CCCCCCCCCCAGCCTTTGGGGCATGCCTGGCAACGCCTCTCGTAGGAGGAGTCTGGGTGTTTCTGAAACCACCTGAAACCCCAGGGTTAGAACCCAGGGTCCTCCAGGCCCCAAGCTGCTGTTTCAGCTTTGCTTGGTCAAGGAGCCTGGTGTGCTGTAAACAGATTAGGGAATCTTTTATTGGAAAAAGCCTAGAAATGGCTTCCTCCCTGTGGGTGGTATGGTCATCTGGGGTGATGTTTCCTGCTGCTGGTGAGGTCACTCAGCCAGAGTCCCCATGGCTCGCTCCAGACGCCTGCCTGGCCTGGCTCGGCTGCCTTCCTGCCTCAGGCTTGCGGTGGCTCTGTGTTTTGGGTTGGCCGGGGTTGGCCAGGATGAGGAGGTGCGCTGGGCTGACTCCTTCAGGCCGTTCTCTCGCCCTAATGAAGTTTGGCCTGAGAGTTGAGGTTCTTGTGGGAGGGAGGGGCTCCAGCTTCTGGGGGGCCTGTAAGTGACCCCGGCCAGCCAGTGCGACAGAAGGGGCCTTCTTGACTGCAAGCCTGCATCTCCCTGTGATTTCAGACCCTCGTCTTGCAGCCCCCCTGGGCGCACGATGCCACATTGGCTCTCCTACTCTGTCATTAGGATTCACAGTGGGGAGGTGAAGGGGCCCTACAGGGGCAGCTGAGCCACGCTACTGTTCACGTCCTGCGAGTCACCTCCTCCCGCAGCCCTCCGGGGTTACTCCATTTGCTGCCAGGAGTCACTGTGGTGTTCTTTTCTTTAGACCCACGAGTGCAGCTCCTGCCCACGTAGAATTCAGTGTCATCTGGGCTGAGAAGAGCTGGTGGTCCCTCAGAGACGCCATGTATCGCCCAGCCTTGCAGGCGTTTGCCGCCCTGCTCCCAGCCGACTGTCCCAGGCTCCGACGGGGCAGAACTCTGAAATCAGGTCGGTGGCCTCAGCCACCAAAGGGGTGGAGGCAGCAACACAGAGTGGACGTTTCCCTGGGGACCTTTCCCGCGTGTAGGAGAACGGGGCTGTTTGTCCTTGAAGACTGGAGGGGGATTGGTGGGCTTTTTACCCTCCCCCCCCCCGCCGTATTGACCAGCTATTGGATGGGCAGCACTCCCCGCCCCCTACCCCAGGCAGAGCCTTGGGCAAGACACCTAGCTCCCTTTGGCCACAGGCAGTGTGCCCCGAGAGGGACTCAGCTGGGAGCCTCTGCAGCTGGAGACATCCTGGCATGACTCTAGAAAGTTGGGGCATTTGGCAGCAGGGGAGAAACGCAGTCTGAGAAGGCTGCATGGTGGAAGAGGCCTTTTGGTTCAGACTTGACTAATGAATAAGATTCTGCCATCCAGGGATGGTGGTGGGGCTGAGGGGGCGAGTATAGCAAAGACGTGTTCTGAGACCAGCAAATGTGCTTGGAGTGAAGTGAGTGGGAAGTCACTCTGGACGGATGCGGGGGCTATGAGGTTTGGACATTATTCTGTGTGCTGGGTTCAGGAGGAGCCAGCAAAGGATTGTGCCTGTGTGTATGTGACCTGTAGGGAGAGCAGGGCCCTGGGGTGAGCCCGCCGGTTCTCCTCCCACCGGAAGCCACTGAGCCTGCTCTTCTGGTCACTCCTGGAGTCCTAAGACCACCGATCAAAGCTGGAGGGCTGCAGTGTTGGGACCAAAAAGACCAGTGAGCCCAACCCTTTCATTTCGGATGAAGAATCAGAGGACCAGAGACGCCGTGTGAGTTGCCCAGGGCTGCACAGCAAATGACAGGCAGAGCTGAGGCAGGAACCCAGTTCTCTTGAGTCCTAGTTGAGAGAGGCCATTGAAAAGTTGTGCTTATTTTTGTTTTCTGAGTATCTGAGACCATCGAGATTTTAGTAATAGAATTTTTGATTAAATAATGTTATGTCCACGTAATGGACTCACTAAAAACAACTTTATGTGGGTGTTTGGCACAAATACAGTGATTGTCTTGAGTGGATACTATCCATTATCGATCGATCTCTTTTTTTTTTTTTAAGATTTTATTTATTTGACAGAGAGAGACACAGTGAGAGCAGGAACACAAGCAGGGGGAGTGGGTGAGGGAGAAGCAGGCTTCCCACTGAGCAAGGAGCCCGATGCGGGGCTCGATCCCAGGACCCCGGGACCAAGACCTGAGCCAAAGGCAGACGCTTAACCCACTGAGCCACCCAGGTGCCCCAGATGCCGCTCTTTTCTCTGTGTCTTTCTACATTGTCAAATTGTATAGAGTGAGAAAGGATCGTTTTTATCACCGGATAACTTTATAAGAAGTCTCTGCTTGCAGGGATGACATTGCTAACAACGCGTTCGGGGGCGAGCACATGGCTGCAGGTATTAGTTTTTTCCCTGGCCGGCCGGTGTAGCTGGGCATCTGGGGAGGGAGAGGCAGCCGGTCTGATGCAGCAGTTGTAATTCAGAAAAGACGTGGGCCTGTAGAGCCAGGAAGGACTTGGGAAATCACCCCCATTTGACAGAGGACCCCCACCCCCTCTTGTCTCTGTATAGATCCCAGGCCAGGGCTCCTTCCTGTGGCTTGGGGGTTTCAGGTGATAGTGGGCACATGGGAGAAATGGCCAGTTGGCAGCTGGGGGTTCAGGGGCATGGGACAGACGTGGAGGTGTGTGAGTTGGCAGCCTTGGGGGATTGGAGGGGGTGATGGGGGACGTTTCCAAGGATCCCAGCCCCAAGGCCACCTCCTCCTGCTCACAGCTGTATGGAGAAGGGTCCCCAGTAAAGAGAAACCGTGTAGTCATGGGGTGGGGGGGATGATGTGGGGGCAGAAAGCCATCTCCTGCTTCCCGGGGTTGGGCAGGGAGGTGGCCAGCCGGGTCTCTACGTTTCCCGGTTCTGCCCTATGAGCGTCTCCAAGTGATTGTGTTTCTTTCTTTGACCAGAGACCACCTGGGAACGTCCCAGCAGTTCTCCTGGGATTCCAGCCAGCCCTGGCCCTCACAGGAGCTCTCTGCCTCCAACAGGTACGGTCTACTCACTACTTCGGGGCAACCGGAAGGGACCACACACCCACCTTCCCTGGAAAGGCCAAGACTCTGGGTTCTGGGGTCTGGAACGTGGCTGGGGATCTGGCCAAACCCAGGCAGGGAGCAGTTTAGACGGCTAGGAGGGTGGGCTCTCTCCCTGGCAGTGTGGACAGCAACCTGATGGCTCACCCTCACTCCCTTCAGGTGCTTAGGGAGCGAAGATGCCCGGGTGAGGTGAGGCCTCAGGGCCGTAACCTGTCTGCTGGTGCGGGTACCCAAAGTGGGGGCAGAACTGCTCTGCAAAGTTCCGGAATGCATCAAAGAGTAAAGTTAAAGGAGGCAGATTTTTATGGGGCAGCTTTCAAGTAGAATGTTCTAGAAGGCACGTGGGATTTGTTGTCAGGGCGTGAGTTCTCCATCTGCAAAGGCAATCAAGTGGAGGTGGTTGAGGTCGACATTCCTATCCTAGGTGGGGGTTTTATTCTGAGACCCCAGGAGGCAGGTTGATGTAGAGCCCTCACCCATCGGTCCGGATCCCAGCCCTCAGAGCACACCCCCCCGTCTAGTGTGGCTCTCCCACACTAGACTGCACGCTCCCTGAGGGTGGATACTTCCTCTCCCCCTGACTTCTATGGAATCCTCAGTCCCCAGACACGGGCTGGCTTCAGTGTTGAGGGAACTCAACGAATGTCTCCACAATCACAGGGGGCGTGAACCCCATTTGTTGGTCTTCGGACTTTACGCATCAGCCGGGTGGCAAAGCCCGGAAGTCGTGGTTCTGGTGGCGGCCTGGAATTTGCACGTTGGTGGCCCGGTGTAGCTGGACTGAGGCGGGGAGGCACCCAGAAGGGGAGGGGTGGGGAGGGGAGGGGAGAAGCAGCAGCTTACGTGGAGGGCGGTGAGGGCCTGCACAACCTTCACGGGGCCCCAAGTCATCGGAGGTCTACGGAGCTTACCTAACCCATCCCAGGTGACCAAGGGAAGAGCCGAAATGATGACCGAGTGAGGGGCTGCGTGAATGCATGCGCATGTGTGCAGACAGGTGTAGGAAGGACAAGCAGCCTTTAACCCTTGGATCAGAGGAAGGGTCTCGGGTGCAGAGAGTGGGCTGCCTTTCATAGAGAAGAGTCTTTAGACATTCTCTACCGCTGATACATTGAGAACTCAACGTGTATTATATGGTCCATATAATATAAAGCTATATGATCCAAGTATATGATTTTGGGAAATGAGAATTGCCAGAGCAGAAGAATTCAAAAAGCAACATGGTAGGAAAACAGAGAAACAGAGTTCCGGAGAATCAATCAGCCGAGGCACGGGAGAGGGGGCGAGCAGGTGTTCTAGGCTTTTTAAATGTTTTTATTTACATCTTGTGTGTGTGTGTGTGTGTGTGTGTGTGTATGTGTGTAATTTTTTTACTTAAATTAAAAAGAAAAATTCAAACGGAGAGGAACCCTCTTGGGAGGGAGCGAAATGGGGCATTTGCTCGTGATGCCCTAGGGACAGGGTGAGCCCTGCATTGCGAGAACCGAGCCCATTCAGCCTTCCTGCCTGTTGTACGGACGACAGGCCGTTCCGGGCACACTGCCTTCCCTGTTGTCGTCCTTGGGTTTTTGTTTTTGTTCCTTTTAGCGACCGAGATGCCAGCATGAATAAAGCGAGGCGTGGCCCTCTATCCTGGCTGGCTCTGGGCCAGCCAGATACCAGAAAGGAGACAACCCAGCTGTTTGGGGCCAGAGCGGTTGGTCTGCGAAGGCCGGGGGAGGCGTGTGCAGGTGTCAGGCGTGAGCTGCCACAGCCTGTCGCAGCCTGCCACGTGCACCGGGCTGGTGGGGCTGGGAGAGCTGGGTGGGGAACTCGCCCTTTGCGACATTGGGGTCACCTCCCAAAGCCCGCTCTCCCTGGTGCAGTCCCTCCCTAGCAGCAGCCTGTCCCCTCTGTGCTGTGTGGGGGCCATCCCCCCAGAATGGGGGCTGGGAGGAGTTGGTTCGGGGCTAGTGGGACAGATTCCTGCCTTCACCCGAGCAGCACAATGGGATGCCTGTCCACTGAGCACTGAGCTGGGTGCTGGGACTCTGAGGGGGCGCTGAGAAGGGCGGGGAGATGGGCGGAGAGGGTCAGGCCCACCGACGAGGATTGTCAAGAGGGCCAAGGCCTTGGACCGAGCATGTGGTCACCGACCTGCCCTCCTCTGCCCCCAGCTGTGGGGGGCTGGGACACCTGTTCCCGAGTCTGCGGGAACCTAGGTCTGTCAAGTTCTCTGCCAGAAAGGGCCTTGCAGCCTCGTGCAGTTGGAAGTTCTGCCTACCCTTCGGCCCTTTGGAGATGCAGCAGACACATCAGCATTCTGATGAAGACCCTGTTTGAATCGGTGCTTCCTTCCGCCCTTTTGTCGGTCGGCAACATCCGTACGTACTAGTTAGGTTTTCCTGCCCCTGGCACAGTGGTTCTCACCCCTGGGGGTGATTTTGCCAAGGATGCATTGCCCCGGACAGCATACCGCCGCCCCCCCACCCCCCCACAAAGGAGCTCTGTCCTGGGGTGACTCAGAACGTCCGTTCAGCACCGTTCAAGGGATGGGTGACAGACCACATGGCCCATAGAAATGAGAAGCAGCAACATAATCCACAGAAGCCTCGTTCCCCGGCTCAGAGACCCACCTTTCATGGATTCCTTGGAAGTCAGATACATCCCGCGGTCAGCATGTACCCCTCATTCAAGGAGAGGCCTCTTTGTTTTCTTCTCCCGTGGCATGGAACATCAGGGTGCCTCTCCCGGTCGTGGCTTCTTAGACTGAGATTTAGAAATGACGGCTGGTCAGACTGGGTCGTCGGGCACCCCGCGTCTTCTCGCCAGGCCTTGTTTGGCCCCATTTACACAGCGCGAGGGACTGGAGAAAGGCCGTGGCTCAGGTCCTGTCCAGCCCTCCGCGGATCACGGTTCTTGATTCTCTCCACCCTGGGGCACGGACACGCTCTGTGTCCACGCTCGGGGATGGAAGGGAAGAAACCTTATCTGTGAGGCTGTAGGAGCCTCCGTGATGTTTGACATCTTCTTTTCTAGCTTTTGAACAAAACTTCTCTGGAGGATGAAATAGGAGGCACATGGGCAGTTCTCTCTACGGGGAGCACTAGGTTTCTTCCAGATACTCTCTCATTCAGTTTTGCAGGCAGCTTTCAGGAGATTGAAAGACTCGGAGGGGACATGAGGTTGCTGGAGCTTAACCGTCCCCCCCCCACCCCATGCTCCTGGGGTTGTCAACTCCCCTCCTGGGGACCACCCCAAGCCCCCGATCTCAGCCCCTCTTGTACTCGGGCTTCTGCAAATGCAACAGTGGTGGGGTTTCAAGCCTTGCCTTCAAAGACTATGCCGGATGCTGTTCTCGGGGCCTGGGATCGCACCACAGACAAGCCACACCCGTGTTTGGAACTGCTCCCAGGAACCCACATTCTAGCAGGGGACTTGGGCAAACAAGCAAACCTGAAATATGTCAGATTGTCTTTGCAAGGCGTTAAAGTCGGATAGAGTAGGGCTGGGGAGTCAGGGATGGCCGCAGTGAGAAGATGGGTATGTGTGGAGGGTGGTGGTGAAGTAGACTGGGCCAGGGAGCAGCCAGTGCAAAGGCCCTGGGGCAGGAGTGACGCTGGCATGGCCCTTGTGGCTGGAGGGTGGGTGGGGGGCGAGGGGGAGAGTGGTAGGTGATGAGGGGAGAGCAGTCAACAGGGATAGAACCTGCCGGGCCCCCCAAGCTATAGGAAGATGGTGGGATTTCATCTTGAGCTCAGTGGTTGGAAGGCAGCTCAGCTGCCTTCTCGAAGCAGCCGGGCACTACTTGGCTGAGTCAGGATTGCTCTTGGTTAAGCAGCAACGGGCATTGCGGTGGGATTGCGGGGCGGGGTGGGTAGGGGGTAAGAGCAGCGTGGAAGACTCCACCTCATTCATTGACCACAAACATCCCGTATGGTCGTTTCTGAAGAAGAACATGGAAAAGCAGGTGAGGAAGAATCTCTGCAGGAACCGTTCCCAAAGGAACCCAGCCAAGGTCAGCCCAAGCAGCCTCCCCTTCGTGGAGGCAGAAGGCTGAAGAAGTCCACGGGGCTGTTTTACTCCTGAGTTGTAGCTTGTGGAGAGGGTTTGAAAAACCACGTGTGGGCAGTGGCCGTTTTTAATTCTTAGTGCAGGTTGGTCAGAAGCATAGCCCAGCCAGGTTACCAGCTGGAGAGCGAGATCTGGGAACACACCCAGTGCCCCCCCCACCAAAGGGGATTCCGCTCTTTGAATGCCGGGTGCTGCTTAAGTGTCAGCACTGGGCTGGGGACTTTTCCTCCACTTTCTCCTTTAAGACCACCAGCGTCAGGAGCTGTGTTTATCCCATAAGCTTGACTAGAGGCGTTTCACGCCAGGTCTTCTGGGTGAGGTCCGCGTAACCCAAACAGAACAGCAAAGGCTCTATTCAGTAACTGCTGCGAATATTAAAAATGATCCTTGGGCTGGTTTAATAGGCAGTGCGGACGCAATGATTTATGGGCAGAGTGAAAAACAAGGTTCTGGGAGTTTCGTGGATGCGTCACTGCGTGACACGAAGGACACTGCAGAGCAGTGTGGTCCAGTAGAACTTTCTGGGGTAACAGAAATGTGCTGTATCTACGCTGTCCACTGTGGTAACGTTAGGCACATGGCTAATGGACGCGTGAAATGTGTCCAGTGCAGCCGAGGAGCTGAATTCTTAACTTAATTTTACTTTATTTAATACATATATTTTTTTATTTTGGAGTAATTTTGGGTTTACAGAGGAATTACGAAGCCGGTACAGAGAGTTCTTATATACCCTGGCCTCAGTTTCCCCGACGGTTAACATCCTACATAACTGGGGTGTGCTTGTCAAGAGTAAGAAATGAACGTTTTATGTCACCGTTAACTAAATTTTATGCAGATGTCACCAGTTTTTCCACTAGTGTCCTCTTTCTGTTCTGGGATCCAATTCTGGGTACCACATG